TATTTATGTATATTTTTTATGTTTGTGTATATTTTATGTATTATATATTATATATAGACATACACATACACACACACTCTTACACACATATATATTTAGATATATAATTATATATTTAGGTATATTTTTTATATTTGTGTATATATTATTTATTATATATTATATATACACACACACACGCGTACATACACACAAACACACACAGAAATATATATGATGTACTCGTTATGTGTGTATATGTTATTAGTGTTATGTAATTATACACCATTCAAACTTATTATTATTATTATTATTATTATAAGTTTGAATGGTGTGTACATTATGTATATAGTTATATATAACATTAATTAATATAAATATGTTTTGGTGGTAAATAGTTATATATAGTAATAATAATAATAATAGTTATTACATAAATAAAAAGGCATAAACACACAAAATAAAGCAGATGCGATTGAACGTAGTAGATAAAATGTATAGAATGGTGTGTGTGTGTGTGGATGTTGTGTGTGTGTGTGTATATATATTTGAGTGTATATATTAATTTGTGTATATTCGTGTGTATATATATTTATTTATGTGTGTGTTTGGGTGTGTGTATATATTGATGTGTGCTGCTTTGTGTGGTGGATACTCGGTAATATAGACTGGAGATAAGAGAGGGTGATATGGAGGGGGGGTGATTTGGGTATTATTTGTAGTATTGTTATTATTGTTATTGTAGTTATTATTATTATTGTTATTATTGTTATTGTTATGTATATATGTAAATATTATTAATATTATATGAATGATTATTATTATTATTGTTGTTATTTTTATGTGTATGTATAATATATAGAATTATTATTGTTATTGTGGTTATTGTTTTTATTGTTATTGTTAGTGATATTCGTTATTTGGAGAGGGGAATACGGCTGGTTAAACTGTTTACCTCGGGAATGGGTAATGTTTGATGGGTAAGTAGCAGACGGGAAATTGTTGGTTCGGGGGTAATTCTGGTATAGAGTGGCTTTTGGCGAGATGACCGTTACGTTTGTTGGCGTATTGTTATGTGATCGATTTAGTGAGTGGATGCGGAATTTATTTGTTGTGATTCATTTAATTTATAAATTTTTATGAATTTGGATGGGGATTTTTGGAATTTTGACGTGATATTTAACGTTTTGACGTGATTTTTCACGTTTTAGACGTATTCGTTGTTGGAAGGAGTAATTTTTCGTAGTGATTTTGTATGGTGATTGAGAATTGGATGGCGAAGATTTTCGCGTTTTCACGTAAATTTTCGTCATTTCAGGTAAAATTTGAAATAATCTCATTTGGTATAGGAATAGAACCGGAAGAAACGGAAAAATGGTTCGAAATGAAGCGACGACGGGTGGCGCGTCGTCGGGGCAGAAGGCGGACGATACGGCCCCTTTAACTGCCATTTTAGTGGCAGATAGTTTCGATAGGCGATTCACACCCATCGTGGATGAGACGTCGTCATTGGTATGGTTTTAGTTGTGCTTGAATTAGGTGATTTGATGGTGATAAGGTGATAATACTGATAAGGGTAGTGATAAGAGTGATAAGGAATATTTTTGAGTTTGGCGATGGTTTTTGGAAAAAAAAATTTTTTTTGTGATTTTTAGAGTTGTGTTCGATTAGCGAACGTAAAGGTGTTGGACTATACACTGGAATGGTTATCGAGGACCGAGATACGCGATGTAATTGTTGTGGTGGCGTCGTCACATGAGGCAGCTTTAAGCGAGTTGTTGAGGTAGTTGAATTATTTTTAATTTCAGGTTTTTGGGGGGTATTTGGGGGGGGGGGNTAATTTCAGCCAGTGGAAGGGCAGTTTTGAGACGTTGAAGTTGGTGACGTGTCAAAACTGCATGTCAGTGGGTGATGCGATACGTGAGGTGGAGACCAGATCGATGATCACGAGTGATTTCTTATTGATCACGAACCCGGCGACGTTTTGTAACTCGAATTTGGTGCAGCAGATCAGGGCGTACAGGTTTGTTGGGTATTGATTTGAGGTGATAATGGTGGTGATAAGGGGATATTTAATGATAAGGATGTAATGGTGGCAGGGGGTATGTAGTGATAAGGAATCGTGGGGGATATTCAGTGGTGGTGATAAGGGGATATTCAGGTGGTAGTGATAAGGAGTGATAAGGGAATATTCAGGTTCTGGTGATAAGAGGCTGTTCAGTGATAAGTAGTGATAAGGATATATTCAGTGATAAGGAATGATAAGGCTATCATTTAAGGGAACGTCGAAAGGAGAGTAAAAACAACGTGATGACGTTAATCTACACGAAGAGTTGTGGCTCGAGCTCGAGCTCGGGTTCGGTGTCAAACTCGCTGAATCCGATTTTGGGAATCGAACGGAAAACAAGCAAATTGCTTCTATACAACCCGGGCAGTGGTACGGAGGGTGGTGGCGGAGGGAATGGTGCGTCGTTGGAACTCGATAAGGTAACTTTTTTGTTTTTTTGGGTATTTTTTTGGTTTAAGGGTTCCTGTGGGAACGTCAAACCCGGAATTCGGGTAGTTTGGGTAAATTGGGGTAAAATGTCACTGCAGTGGGTGTATCGTAGCCGGGTGTTTGGGATGGTGCAGGTGATAGGGTAGTGATAAGCGAGTGATAAGTGATAGTGATAAGGGTGATTCTTGGTAATAAACAGTAACTTATGATAATAGTAATAGTAATTGCAGAGTCTATTCATAAGCGATACAATGATACGGAGGGATCTACGTGACAGCGGGGTGGCAATATGCTCGCAGAATATCAGTGCGCAGTTTAGTGATAATTTCGACTTCCAATTCCGAGATGACGTCATTCGGGAGATTATTTTAAATGAGGAGATTTTGGGATTGCATATTCATGTGGACGTGTTGCCGGATAGTGTGGCTGCATTTACGGTTAGGTGAGGTTATTTATTATTATTATTTATTATTATTTATTATTGTTATTTATTGTTATTTATTGTTTATTATTTATTATTGTTTATTTTTATTATATATTGTTATTGTGTTTGTTATTATTTATTGTTATTGTATTTGGTAGTATTGTTTTATTGGTGTTACTGTGGCTTACGATTAGGCTTGTTGATTTGGTAACGGTAAGTATGGGAAGGGAGTGTGTTTGGTGGATGTTTTGGGGTTGGGTTGATTTCAGGTTGTTAAAAATTAGGTCGTAATTGATTTCAGGTTGCTGAAAATTAGAGTTGGGTTGATTTCAGGTTGTTGAGAATTAACTTATTGTTGTGATTATTTGTCGTAGATGTTATTATTTTGTTATTGTTATTATTTTTAATAATATTATTTGATTTTTAGAGATTACGAAGGGTTGATACGAGCGAATTGTCTGATATTGCAACGATGGTTGACGCCGCTCTTACCGGGGCGAGCGGGGTTGGAGGGGGGACATTTTATAACGACGCGGTCGAATCAGTATTTCGGGGTGGACGAGGAGGATAGGAATGTGGAGAATTTGGCCAGATTCACTTGGTGGGTGGTGGTTTTGGTTATTTTTGTGGTGGTTATTTATTGGTTTGTTGTATTTTTATTGTTGTTATTGTTTTAGTAATAATTTCAATGCGGGACCCAATGTGGTGTTTGGAATGGGTTGTAAGATTGGAGCTGGTGCGACCATTAAGAATACGGCGTTAGGAAACAATGTGGAAATAGGTTTGTGGTTTTTTTGGTTGCACATTTCTTAATTCGTTTTTTTTGCTCGACGACATTTCATCACACTAGCGGTGTGATGAAATGTCGCAGAGCAAAAAACAGTGAGCGTGAAAATGTTTTGTTTATTGTTGTTGTTATTATTATTTTTATTGAGAATGTTTTCAGGTGAGAACACGACAGTGGTGAATTGTATTGTTGGTGATGGAACGAAAATTGGTCGTAATGCTGCAATATCGAATTCGTTTATTGACGAGTGCGTGTGTATTGGAGATGACGTCATCGTGTATCCGAGATGTGTCTTGGCCAAACGGGTAAGCGGTGGGTTTGTGAAGATTTGGGGATTTCAGGTTCAGTGGGCGGGGTTTGGCAAGCGTCCAGGAATTTTTAAAATGTAAATATTGTTTATTGATGACATTATTGTTGTTGATTTCAGGTCTGTATACCGGCCGCGAAAAGCATAGCGAGTGAGAGTGTTGTGTGCAGTGAGGCGTGTGCAGAGGATGAAGAGGACATTTTCTCGTGTACGAAGACAGACGGTTGGTTATTGATTTAGTTGTTATTGGTTTGATATGGTGTGGTTAAAGGAGGGATTATTTTCATTGGTTTCTGTTTTTTGCTCGACGACATTTCATCACACCCGTTTTTTGATTGACGACATCTCATCACAGTGTCTGTGACTTGAGGTAGAATGGATAGTGTAGTGGAATGAGTGATTTGGAGAAAGATATAGAAAAATTTCAATTAGTTATATTTCAGTTGGTTTCGAATGGAAATTCGTCGATGGCGCTAGCTTTTGGAGAGCATCGAGCAAACGAAGGGAACGGTATGATTCATCGGCGACGAATCGAGGTGTGGATAGTACAATGGAGAAATCGGATGAAGAGGATGTGGTCGAGAAAGAGATGGATAACACGGAGAAATTCTTTGAAGAGGTCGGAGGTTCTTTTGGAAATTGAAGTTGTGAATTTTTTATTTATTCACTTTTTGTTTTTTTTTGCTCGACGACATTTCATCACAGCGACTGAGCGACATTTTCATCACATCACATTGATCGTAGATGTATTTAGTATTGTTTTGACGAATAAATTTAAAGGTGAAAGAAAGTATGGAACGAATAGCGGCGAGTGATCAGAATGGTGAACCGTTGGTGCGGAATTTGATTTTGGAGATAAACAGCTCGAAATTGGCCTATAACATATCGATGGAGGATGTGGCCAAGAACGTGATGTTGGCATTTCTGTCGTTGCAGCACAACAACAGCTCTGCGGCCTTGCGTTCGGTTTGTTTTCGTTTTTGGTTTGGTTTTCCATTTTTTGCTCGACGACATTTCATCACACGGACCGACATTTTCATCACAGCAGAAAAGAGTGAGCGGGTTTTAAGTTGTGAAGTTTTAATCTGATTTCAGTTGGTGCAGAGATGGAAGGTTTTGTTCGAGAACTATTATAAACCGTTGAAGAGCCAAATTCATGCACTTATTGCTGTTGAGGTACGTTCCTTTATTTTTTGAGATTGTTTTATTTTTTGATATTTCTGGCAGTTTGCCAAGCCATCTTTGCTGGCACCTTGCCAGCCAGCTACAGTACCCTCTATTGAGTGGGTGTTTGAATCAGGCAAATTGACAGGCAATTTCGTTTCAGGAGTACTTGACGTCGAACGCGAGCGCGTTCAAACCGCTCGCGGCTAAAACGGTACACATGCTCTATGAGGAAGATGTAGTGGAAGAGGACGCAATATTAGAATGGCACGACACGCTCGCGCCCGAGTCGCAAATGCGCACGCTTGTG